TAATGCCAATCATTATATTTTTCTAAATTGCATTTTAAAATCTTATTTAGATTATTACATATTTGTATCACAAATTCTTAATTAATGCAATTATTGGGGACCTAGCTTTCAAATTTCCAATTCCCAAGAAGGTGGAAATAAGATCTGTTGTATTTTAAAATTGAATTGCATCATGAAATAGAAATGCTATGTATCAACAGAAGATTATCAGCAAAAGAACAAAATTAAAATTATACTTTTTTTTTACTCTTTTTAATACAAGCAACTTGCATAAAGTTTATGTAAATAAAAATATCTTGGCCAGGCATGGTGGCTCATACCTGTATCCCAGCTCTTTGCGAAGCCGAAGAGGGTGGATCATGAGGTCAAGAGTTTGAGACCACCCTGGAAAATATGGTGAAACCCCATCTCTACTAAAAATATAAAAATTAGCCGGGCGTGGTGGCACACGCCTGTAGTCCCAGCTACTTGGGAGGCTGAGGCAGAAGAATCACTTGAACCCAGGAGGCAGAGGTTGCAATGAGCCAAGATCACACCACTGCACTTAAGCCTGGGCAACAGTGCGAGACTCTGTCTCAAAAAAGAAAAAAAAGGTCTCATAACAATACAATTATAAAATATGTTTGGAAATATCAAATATGAGCTTTGGCTAGCCTTATTTTTGGTATCCACAAGTATAGTGTGTAGTACATAATGCTTAATAAAAGGTGAGTTGAATTGTTAAAATAAATATAATTTTTTTATTGCTGGTTTAAATCTTTTTATATATTCCTAATTATACTTAAAAGTAAAAGATTACTACTTTTAGTATTTAGTGAATATAAATTTTGAAAAATAAACATGCTTATGCTTCTGCTTTTTCGTTCATTTCATGTTGATGATTTGTGTTATATATGCATTTCCCTAATCTGATCTCAAAAATCTTATATAAATTTTCAACCATAATTTCCCATCATTTACCTCTAAGACATCTATACTGAAATAAAAATTGCAACAATATTTTACAGTGTGATTCTCCAAATAACATGCTCTCTTGGAAAAATGAAAGTGAATCTGCCATGTGAAATGCTATGCATAATTTAACATGGCTTAAAAAAACTTGGTATGAATTTTAGAATTCGTTGCTTGCCTTCACAGCAATTTTACGTAAATATTTCCTCATAATACTTCATCCACATTCCTTCCTCAAATTCTTCCATTTAAACTTAAATTTTTAAAGTTCCTCTTTTACTCACTTCACAGTTGTCATAGACGCTATCATTCTTGGTTTAACAAAGTAAGTCATGTTTTCAAAAACTAAAAAAAAACTTTTTTTTTTTCTGATACTGTGCTACCGCCATCTTCTCTCCTTACTGGAAACAAAAATTTTCCCCCAATGCATTTTCATACATATTCTTCTCATTTGAAAGAGCTGCCTTCCTCTATTATTTTATTCTCATGAGTAATGAGGTATGAAAAATATTTCTTGCTCCCCTGGGTCACTTCTAAACCATCATCACTCTTTCCCTTCAGAAGCCGAACTTGTAATTCTTACCCCTTCAAAAAAAACTGGCTAGTTAGGTTCAAGAAGATGATGGGAAAAATAATATGAAGAGAAAAAAGGATACTATAATTGAAAGCCAGCTCAGGTGATGAATCAGCAGGAGTTACTCATCCCTAGAGCTGTCTGGACTCCTGTTAGCTTTCTAGGTCTTGTGCATTATGAAAGAGAACTACATTATCTAAGACAGTCTCCCTTTCTTGCAACCAAAAGGGCCTATTAACATGGTCCTTTAGTCACTAAGGACTATGGCACCAACCTTATAGACCTTTCCACCCCAACTCCTACCAGAAAGGTAGCATTGCATAGTAGTTAAGGACAGGAGCTCTGAAGGCAGACTGCATTTTACGGAGTCCTAATTAGAGAAAAAGAGTCAGGCTGGTGGGAGCAGAGGAGAGCAAAAAGAAAAAGCAGATAAGCTACAAGGACATATAGCCCTCCTGGGCAAATAATTCACAATCCTCCTGTGCCCAACTATCACCAGACACCTGCAAGTTAGCTCACTGCAACCTTGGCATTATCGATACTGCACAAAGCCCTCTCCAGCATACAGCATAAACACCACCCTATAAAATCTCCAGCAAGCCTTTGTTTCTTTGCAGTCAACTTCCCTTCAGCTGATACTGCCGTTGTCTCCCTGGTAACATATTTTCCTACTTTCTCTACAAATCTACGTTTCTTGACCTACAATGGTAAAATCTTTTGCCCCTGCACCACCAGCGTAGATAGCCACCACTCCCCCATGACAAACTCTAATATGGAACAGGTATGTAAACCTCTCTGCTTCACTTTTCTCAGCCATAAAATGAAAATAATAGTACTGACCTCTAGGGCTGTTGTAAGGTCTAAATGCGTTAACATGTGTAACATGCTTAGAAAAGTGCCTGACACAAAGTAAGTACCCAATAAATGTTAACTATTTGTAGTAGTATCAGTATTGACAACATCTTCAAAATCTTTATAGCTGACTCATCCAACAACTTAGATTCAACAACTTGAGCTCCTCAAAAGCATCAAACATCATTCACCTGGCATTCATAGCCACACCCTGCACTTCAGGTCTTTATACCTTTCATGTTGTGTTGTTAGCAAGGGTTTTCCAAATAGATTAAATGCCTTGAATTTTGATTGCCCAATATTCCCCAAATCCCTTCAAGGCATTCTTTGTATGTTACACAATAAGTTTTCTGAAGTATAAATCTGGCCATACCTACTCTATTTTACTCCATGCCGTATACAGGTAAAGCCTAAACTCCTTTTCTTGGAATATAGGCTCTCCAGATCTGAAGGCTCCCTCATTATTTATACTTCTGCTCTCACATACCCTTTGAACTTTCTCACATTGTCTTCATATTTGAGTATGTTGCTCCAGCTTGTAAGCATGCCCTCCCTGTCCTTGTATCCCATTCCCCAGTCACTTATTATCCTGTGTGCTATAGTCACATTCAGCTTGGTTGCAACCTCTTCCCGAACCAGTTCGTCATTAACAAAGAAAGGGAGGGAAGAAGGGAAGAAGGGAAGAAGGGATGGAGGAAGAGAGGGAGGAAAGGAGGAAAAGAGAAGAAAGGGAAAGGGAAGGGAAAGAATGGGAGGTAAAGGGACAAATAATGAAGCTTTTATGCTCTAGTCTTTTTTTCCTAAATACAGAAGACAAAGAGCAAAATATACTTCACTAAAATCATATTTTTACATAAATGTTCTTTCCTTTGTTCTTTTGGTTGTTTTTCCACTTATAAACACTTTTCATATTTGTATGTCTTTCTAATGGTTATCCTGTTTTGTTCATTTCAGGCATATGGCCCTGATCAGATTAACTGACATGATGTATATGCAAAGCCTTTTGAGTTCTTCAGAAAAATAAACTGTCTCAGTCAAGACTGATTAGTTATCAGGAAGCTATTATAGCTAATGTAGGCACAATTTTTCTTTTGTTACTCTCCTAGATGAATCAGAACTTAGTTTTGACATGGGTAAAAATTTTATAGTCACAAATCTCAGGTGTGAGAAAAATATCTTCCATTTGTATTCTATATAAATAGAGAATAGAAATATGTCAAATCTGGAAGTAGTGAGAGGAGCTGGTAATTCTGGACATGTAGTGACAGTCAAAAAGGAACTCAGGTACAGGACTGGTTCGCTGTGTTCGCTTTTTATCACCGGCAAAGGCTAAGATAATGTATACAGTAAATATTTAGTAACTATTTATTAAATAAATATTTAAGACAGAATAAACAAATATAATAAATGAACCAATAAGAATGCACCATCTAAGTCAAAATAGCCACTTTTATTCTTAACATGGTACCTGCTTTGGCTGTGTTCGCTTTTTATCACCGGCAAAGGCTAAGATAATGTATATAGTAAATATTTAGTAACTATTTATTAAATAAATATTTAAGACAGAATAAACAAATATAATAAATGAACCAATAAGAATGCACCATCTAAGTCAAAATAGCCACTTTTATTCTTAACATGGTACCTGCTTTGGCTGCCACAGAAGCAAACCTGTTGGCATTAAACAAATCAAGCTGGTGATTTAATAAGTTCCAATGTAAGTCTTACCAGTATTGATAAATAACTATCCAGCACTCACCATGAAAGTTAAAGAAGCAACACAGAAAAAGTGCCTAAGTGGTCCCAATTTGAAATGATCAGATAACCTATAAAGGCACATATTCATATTATATTAAACATAAACACATATAAATGCAGTTGCAGCAGTTACACAGTATTCTCTTCAATACCCAGTTCCCCTATGCATTAATGTGTAACAATAGCAAGTAAAATATTTAGATAATTACAAAAATCAAGGCAATAATTTAAAAAATGATTAATCATTTTTACTCCAACTTAAGCATGGATCTGACCAGTAAGACTGATTAATAAATTTGAATGCAGCCAAGTGGATTGATTCTAATTTAAAGTTTTAATTTGTGGTAGAATAATTTTAAGTGGATAATTTGTACAGTGTTCGAGTTCTCAACAGTGTGTTTGAAGAGGAAAACAAAGAAATGTTTTTAAGAAATGTGTTGATTCCTTAGGACTGTAGATTTTAATTGGATCAAGTTGTTTGTATTTTTCTTCATTATCATTCTACATCTGTATGTTGGACAGAACACTAACACTAAATAGTTTTTAGAAAAGTTATTTAAATCATAATACCAGGCCTGACTTTTAAATTCCAAATCAGGCTGTGTGTGTCCTTCGTCACCTAGGAAGAGTATTGTGAAAGCCAGGCCATCTGCTGAGGTAGTACAGTTACATGTGGCCCTCAGAATGTGTTTGCCCTGCTCTGTTTTAGTACTCTGTTGGATTACCAATACACAAAATAAGTTCACCTTGATCTTTCACATTAAGTATCTCAGGGACAAAATTTGACATACGTCTAAACCTATGACGTTTCCATCTAAAGAAGGCAGAAATAAAACAGGACTTTATATTCAGTTACAATAAAATATCAGATACACCAGAGACACAAGTCTTGAAGCTCCATCCTGGGGAAATATGGCAAACAGTGCCTCTCCCGAACAGAATCAAAATCACTGTTTAGCCATCAATGACAGCATCCCACTGATGCAGGGCAACCTCCCCACTCTCACCTTGTCTGGAAAGATCCGAGTGACAGTTACTTTCTTCCTTTTTCTACTCTCTACAAACTTTAATGCTTCTTTCTTGTTGAAACTTCAGAAGTGGACACAGAAGAAAGAGAAAGGGAAAAAACTCTCAAGAATGAAGCTGCTCTTAAAACATCTGACCTTAGCCAACCTGTTGGAGACTCTGATTGTCATGCCACTGGATGGAATGTGGAACATTACAGTCCAATGGTATGCTGGAGAGTTCTTCTGCAAAGTCCTCAGTTATCTAAAGCTTTTCTCCATGTATGCCCCAGCCTTCATAATGGTGGTGATTAGCCTGGACCGCTTCCTGGCTATCACAAGACCCCTAGCTTTGAAAAGCAACAGAAAGCTTGGACAGTCCATGGTTGGCCTGGCCTGGATCCTCAGTAGTGTATTTGCAGGACCACAGGTAAGCCATTATGCATGAACTTATTAGGATATGGCAATCATAGATTTCCTATCTAAATGTGATGTAAGGTTTTATCAAAGGAAGTAATGTATTACCTTTAAGAGCTTGGGCACTGGAAGTCAGAGAGTGAAGTTTAATTCTGGCTCTCTGTTCCGTTACTTTGAGCGAATTTCTTAACCTCTCTGGTTTCAGTTCCTTTACTGATAAAATGTAAAATAGGGGTTAATGTTTACTAATATTGCTTTTGTGATGAATAAATTAATAAAGTGGCTCACACAATCTCTAGTATGTAGCAAATGCTTCCCCCAAAAATTGCTACTCTCAAAATTGACCTTATCTCCATCCTATTCTTTTATTTTTCTTTTTGCTCTGGTTGTCATGGCTTTAATGTTTACTTAAGATAATCTTTAGGAATTATGAAATTTGCCTAGGTAGAAAATACTAATAATGTTTCCTATTTGGAGTTTCTTGAGTGGAAATTTTAAGAATTCTGTCACTGCAGCTTAGAGAGAATTAGTCTTTATTAGTATGTTGCTCTGCAGTTTGTAGATAAATGGGACTGAATATAGAAGAAAAGCAAGAAATCTTGGACATTTGGAAATCCAAATATTTCCCAAAGCTAGTTTGAGTTTTGCTGGGGGCAGGTTATTGAGAAAGCCGTATGACAGACAGGGTAGGCACAGGGCCTCCCCACGGAGGGCAGTCATCTTTCCAGATTGCCTTCATCAGAGCCAGCCTGGTTAACTGACCTGCTGAACCTGCCATTTCAACAATCAGATCCCTGAAGAAAATGACAAATTCTTGAAAATAAAGACTCTTAATAGCAGATGAACAAGTTTTCTCTTGCATGTAAATGTACTACATGATAAACCCAGGGGACAAGGATGTGTCAAGAAACGAGTCAGATAGGATCCTTCAAAACTTGCCTCTGAAAATGGAAATTTATCTAGACTTTTTTAACTGACCAGATGGTTAAAAAATAAAAATAAAGTCCATGCAGAATTCACTATATAGTACAAGACACTAGAAAGCTGAATAATTATATTATCCCACCAATTTTTCACTTTAATATTTCTTTTGAATATGTGAAAGAGGAATGGGGAAAACTAAAATGCTTTCATTTTCTGAAGAAAAATATGTGATTTCTTTCACAGTGATGGAATATACAAGGATAAGTTCAGCAAATATATCACCTGAAATGAGGTGATTTAGCTAAGGCTTATGCTCTTAAAATTTTCCATTCTTTCTTTCCACTTTTGTGCCTATGGTCCCAGCTACTCAGGAGGTTGAGGTGGGAGGATCACTTGAGCCGAGGAGTTCAAGACCAGACTGGGCAATATAGGGAGGTCCCATATCAACTAATTTAATAATAATAATGCCAGTCATGATGGCACGCACCTGTGGTCTCAGCTACTCGGGAGGCTGAGGTGGAACTATCGCTAGAGCCTGGGAGGCAGACATGCGGAGAGCCATGCTGCACTCCAGTATCAGTGACAGAATGATACCCTGTCTCAAAAAAGAAAAAAAAAAAAAAGGTTGGGGAAAATTTATATAGGCCCACATGGAGTGGAGTAAAACAAAGAATTTTTTCAAATCATCTGGCAATGAAGTGATCAGGTTGTGGGCTAGGGTGGTATCAAAGAGCATTGATAGTAAAAGAGACATTTCAAACGAAAACCAAAACTTGACAACAAATTGGACTGAGAAAGTTAATAATAGAGCAGGGGAAAATAAAGTGCCAATTTTTTTGGCCAAGGAGTTTAAATAGTAAACCCATTGAAATGGTCTAGTTGAGAAGAGGAGAGTTTCTTTTTCTGCCTATTTGTTTGTTAGAAGGGAGAGGAAAGGCAGGCTATGAGAAGTAAAATCATTTGCTTTAGGACATGACTGTTGGCAATATAAGATCTTTGTGTAAGTACAACTATGTGGAAAGTAATTGACATGGTGATGTAGATTAAAACCCAAAAAGAAGTAGAAATAATTCTATTTGTGATAATAACTGAAGGACAAACTCACAATTTGATTATTCTTAAAAGAAGTCTCCCAGAAGCTACAAATAAAATATTGCTTTATTAATCCAGTTTTTTTCATCTAAGTATATAGTAGCAATGATAGAAAGACAATGCCAAATATTTACCTAACTTGATGCAGCAAAAATAAAATAGGAACTTAATTTTGAATCGTTTACGAATTTCATGTAATAGTCTGACCTCAAGTATATTACTAGAGAGATGTATGTGCATATGAGCCACAGAAAATGATGTTATTTCATTTTGTAAAACACATGACTCATCCTTTCTTTCAACAACACTTTAAAGCACTTTGCTAAAGTTTCCTGAATAATCTCACATAAGTATAATGTTATTTGATATTTGCATTAGCTCTATGAGGTAAATAGGAGCTGTGTTATTATCCCTATTTCACATATAAAAGAGCTAAGGTCTAAATCCTTTTGCATTCAAATCCTTTTGCAATAATCCAAAGTAAGAATTACATACATTGAGACCTTGTTTGTGACTCTGTCTCTCTTTCTCTCACACGCACAACTGAGAAAAAAGTTTGATGAATAAATATTCTATTCTGTTACATTTCATTTTTTAATGTTGAGTACAACTCACTGCTGAGCATATCCTGCAGTTCAGAAAGCACTGATTTAAAAGTATTCATTGGCATTCTCAATGTCACTTGCTCTGTTGGACAAATGTTGTCTTATTCTTTTCCTTTATTATGACTCTCTGCAGTCTCTCTCAATAAAACAGTTTTCAATCCCATAACTAATGTTACATATATTTGATAAGGAATACGAGAGAGAAAGGGCTTTTTATTTCTAGACTGTGATGCATGATGAGTGTGTCTCATACTTCACCATGCTCTGTGGATAAGCCCATTAACAAAGGTATATCCTATTGTACCTAATTTACGTTAAAAGGGTAACTTAATTTTCATCTTTTGGTGCACATACTAATTTTCTATTACTTGAGTATTTCATACCCCAGTTGGAAAAAAAAAATTAACAAACATGTTGACACCACTCAGACCTGGGGATCTGAGAATTTATGACATTTTGCCTCAGCTCAAAATGACCAAATTGCAAATTGGCCTCCTAGATTTTCAACTTTCCTCATTATTAACCTCAGAAAGCTATGTTCTGTAATAGTTTGGGGATGCTTTCTCAGAAGTGTCAGCATATTGCAGCATAGAAACTTTCAAACTTCATGCTAGTATCAGAATTCTTTTTCCAAAATTCTATATCACAATGTACCCAATAAATATGTACAATATTATATGTCTATTAAAATTTTTTAAATAAAATATAGTACAAAAATTCCTGTACATAAAAAAATCCTGTACAAAAAGCTCTAATGAATGAAACAGATATAAGTGGAGCTGCTCTGGTTAAAATAGAGGTAAGGGCGGACCAGCCCTCTACTTCATTATTCACTAGCTCCCAGTCACAGTTACTAAAGACTTCACATCTCCTTGCAACAAAGCTCAAAAGCCAATGAGATAGTAAAAATGGCATGAGTATGAGATTCAAACTGAGGTGGGTTCAAATTTCAGTAATACCTCCTACCAGCTATGTGACTGTGAGCAAATTACTTACATTTAAAAGAGTAACTGTAAAGAATAAATTAAACAATATATAAAATCATCTAAGACTTTATAACTTAATTTTAAATACTAATTTAATGTATATTTTTCTTCTTTTCCTTTCTTCCTAAGCCCATCATTTCTTCTTTCTTTCATAAAAAAGTTTTTGAAGTCAGGAAAGAAAAAGTACAGAAATAGTATGAAATGCATGGTTCTTTAAGAAACAGCAAAAAGAAATGCTTATATAAAAGTGGATTATTTCAAATTTTTCAAAATTATAGCATGCATTCAGACTGATTAGTAAAGTTGGCCAAACTACTCCCTGGTCACAAAACTATCATACTCACTCTGCAAACTATACATGCCAGAGCACAGTAATTGAAGTCCTGGAGGTATCATTTATAAATGTGGAGAAATAGCAAAGGGAAGGGGAAGAGAGGTGAGGGGAGGGAAAAGGAGGGAGAGAGGAGGGGAGGCGGGGAGGGGAGGTGAGGGAGAGAAGGAAGGGGAGGGAGAGAAGGGAAGGGGAGGAAAAAGTAAGAAAGGTAGGAAAGAAAAACAAAAGAGGGAAGGAGGAAAAGAAAAAGCAATAAACATGCTCTGGGGTATCTTTGGCTAATTTAAATTGAAGACAAGATATTTCCTAAATTATATTGTCCATATCTAATTAAAAATCACATGGTTTCCAATAAGAGTCATTTAATACCACAAGAATTCCAGAATAGCAGATTATCTGCAGAAAGAGTTCATTGTTTATCTATGTTAAGCTTATCACTAGCTTATATGTGTTAATATAGAGCATTACGTATTGACAGCTTTTAAATTCTATGGTTAACCCAGGCCTGTGGGCAAGAAATATGAGCCACTCCTTAGTCTTTGGTGTAAAGATGTGTCCTCTGAAGATGTGTGGAGGCTTGCCTCAACACACAGAGTATTTAGTGGTATAAATTTGGCACTACTGAACTTGGCAAACAGTTTAAATTCAATAAATATTATCACACAGGCACAATATGCCAAACATTGTGCTAGAACATAGTAGTGTGCTACTAGCAGAAATCACAACAGCAATAATGTTGATGATGATAAATAATACTTGAGGACATAAATATGTGCCAGGAATTTTGCTAAAAGCTTTTACTTGCTAGGTTCACAGACCAGGCAGTGAATGAATGAACGTATGAATGAGGTTTTACATGCAATATTTCATATAATGCTTCTAACAATCACAAAGATTATGTACGATCATTATCCTTATTTAACATATGAAGAAACTAAACCTACAATATTATATAACATGCCCAAGATTACTGTCTAATAAGTGGAAATGTTGGTATATCAGCATATCTAGTTATCCGTATATGGCCATATTCATAGCCAGATCTTTTAACTGCTACACTCTACCCAGCTCTGCACACTGAACACTGCAATATTGTGTATTTCCTTTTTACATGTAGGAGGCTGGGGAAGAAAAGGCAGAAAAAGCTTGAAGTGAAAACTGATGCTTAAAAGACATCAAGAAAAAAATAAATATGATACGCATATATAAATGCATATGGATACACATAAAAATTGTGTGCCTCAGTGTTTAATTGTAGTAATGGTTCAGATTTATACAGTGCTGTGTGCCAGGCACTATTTCAGGTACTTTTCATGTATTAACTCATTTACTGTCATGACAGGCCTTAGAGGTAGATATTACCATTTTCTCCATTTATGTAGATGAGGAAACTGAAGCACTTTTCTGAAGATAATTATCTTTGAACAACACTAGATAAGGGTGTAATTAGTGTGAATAAGGTGAGCATTAAAGATAATATTCTAAGAAGAAATTAACAACTGCAATTGGCTGTGAAAAATGAAAACAGAATATTCTTGTTTATGGCAAAATAAAGCAAACACTGATAAGAACCAGGGCCAGGGATAAGAGAGGAGAAACATACTGAAATTAAAGAAACATAATCCAAGGACAAATGAACAACTAAAAGTAAAGTGGATCTCTATATTAATCATTCAAATGAACACAGCCTTGGAGCACAGAATAAACTGAACCAAGACAACAGCAAGTTAATTTTATGGCCAAGTAAGATTCTTAATTTGTGTATACTTTATTATACCTTTCTTAAAATTTATCAATCTATCTTGCATTACTTGTGTCACATACATTTTATATCTCCACTACCAAATATTAAATTCCCTGAGTGAAGGATATAACTTTTATGACAGACAGAATCTGGTACAGTTAGTTTTATCAAAGAGTTGCTTAAAAAATAAGTATGTGTTAAATATTATAACCATTAACACAATCATAGTACTATGTTTCAAAGCCATTGCTAATTGAAAGTTTCATCATTATGGCTTTACATTATAGATAGATAGATAGATAGATAGATAGATAGACAGATAGATAGATAGATATAGATATAGATATATATACACACACACATTTTTAATTATAAATATTTTTCCACTTACAAATGAACGAATTTGAACCACACACAACCCATCTTTTTAGAATCTTATAGAATCCAGGAAACAGAAAGGCCAAGTAATGCCTGAGAGGCCTGAGCAAGAAATACGGACAAACACAGAAGAAAACACTGTTTTTCAAATCTTTTCATCTCTTCTCAAAGCTGGCATGCAATAACATTATACCTGTAGCAAGAACTACAATCAAACTCCACTCATTGGGCCAGAGACCCTTGTGGTGTTAGAGAAAAACTTGCCCCTCATCATGTTGCATAAACATACTACCTATGCTTGTGAGTTCATCAGCCAGTCAGTGACATCATTATGTCTTTAAAACATGATATAGTAAGGTAAAAATGTGGCCCAGGGCAGAGAATAAAGTAAAACTCGGGTTATCTGGTTCCAAATCCACCTGGGATGGTGCAGAGAGAAGTAGCTAAGACCTTAAAGTACAACATTCTGGGGTTCCATGTGAAGTAACCCTTCCAAAGACTTTAACTCACAGCATATGCTGGATCTAATTCAAAGCTGAACTTTAAATAAGGTCAGGTTACAAAGAATTATAGAAAACTGAAAGACTCACTTTGTAATATGGAAAAAAAAAAGTCTGAATCAGATGAAATGAGCTGAATGCACTTATTGGGGTTTCTTGACTAAAGAGTGATAGTAAAATTATTAGACGCCCTCTAGTGGATTAATTTAAAAATATTTTTTCCTTGATTAAAAAAAAAGATCTGAAACTGAAAATCGGCTTTTTAACTTATTTAACAGGGCCAGGGTTCTTTCTCTTTTGAGGTGATGGGAGTGGGAGTGGAATATGTCTTTTAAAAATATATATATATGTATATAGAAAGTGTTTTCTTGAAAATATTTTATAGTATTTTTTGGTAGCATAGAAAAGAATCTTGTTTCTTAATATTGTAATTAAAATTAAAATTTCCTAATTCAATCAAAAACTTAAAAAATAATAGAATCCCTCATTTTCTTAAAAATAAAAGAAATATTGTAACATTTTTGTTTGAATTTACTTGCTAGAATTTAAAAATGCTTACACTCTCTTAACATTTCATTTTAATGTTTCACAATAAAATGAAACTTCTCAGGGAAAAATCTTATAAATGACTAGGTAAGAAGTGCTTGATGAATACAGAAAGAATGAATAAATGTCCACTAGAATTTTTTTTGAAAACTGTTTGCAATATTTTCTTAATTATTGATTCAGTTTGTGTTTTTAAAAGTTGTAGAATAAAGGCTTTTTAAAAATAATTTGACACTCAGAGAAAGGTTACAAGAATCATACAGATTTCTTAAATACTTTCACCCAGATTTTCTCCAACATAAAAATTGTACACATGATTATTCATTATCCCTCAATACTTTAATGTGTGTTGAAGGCCTGTCACATAGCCACAGTAATGAGTGTCAAAATAAGAAATCTAACATTGACACAATACCACTATTTAATTTGTATGTTCTATTCAGAGCTCATGAGTTGTCCCAGTTTCATTTTTGCCCTTTTAACAAAAGAAAATCCAAGATTATGTGTCAGATTCAGTTGCATACCTCTTTAGGATTCTTTTAGCTAGAACCATTCTTCAGTCTTTCTTTGTGTTTCATAATATTGACATTTTTGGAGAGTGCAAACCAGTCATTTTGTAAAATGTCCCTCAGTTGGGGGATATTTCTGTCTGATGTTCCCTCAAAGTTAGATTCAGGTTATACACTTTAATCAAAAATACAAAATTAGTGATGCTAAGTTCTCAATGCATTACATAAGGAGATAGACATTGTAAATAGGTCCTATTATTGGTAATGTTAACATATTAATCTAGATATTTCTCTTCTGTAAAGAGGAGAATATAAGGAATTATATTGTAAGGAATTATATTCCTTATAATGAATAAGTATCCTGCAGGCTGATAGTTAGAGATTTTATAAATATCCTTTTCTCCTCAAACTTACACCCATTATTTTTACTGGCTATTGATGATTCTTGCTGTAATCATTTATTATTATAGTGATTGCCAAATGTTAATCACTATTTCTATTATTCCTTTTCATTTATTAGTTGGCATTCTACATTATGGAAGAACTTTTTCTCAACCTCCCCTCCCATTTATTTATTGTTTTTGTTATTTTATAACTTTCATAAGTATAGGTTCATGGATTCTTACTTTATTCAATAGTTTATCATTCTTTTAGATCAGCTTCTTTTTTGTATTTTAATGTTTAAACTGACCCAGATTTGGCCAGTGGAAGCTCTTTTCAGCTGGTTCCTGGGTTTTTTTTTTTTTTTTTGGCTTTTAATTGACATGTTCTACCATTCTTTGAGCAATTGTCTCTTCATGTCTTTCGACCATTTTTTAAAATTTCATTTTAATAGGGTTTCTGTCTCTAAAACAAAATTTAAATATGTATTTTGAGGAGTACATTCTAAGTGCCAGAAACAGTTTTAGTTACTACAGATATAACTGTGAGCAAAATCACTTGCAAAAAGTTTTCATTGTACTGGAAACTGAAAATACAAACAAGGTTTTAATACTTGAGAGAAAATTATTCTTCAAGGTTGAAATAATTTCAAAAAAATCTGAAATCTTACAGTCTATTGACACTTACCCAAACATATTTTGTAAATATTCACATGACTTTTCATAGAAATGTCAGAAGTTTAATACTAAGGAGCTTAGAAATTGCTTTAGGTAACAACATGATAGAAGGCTAGCAGAGTACCAAAGAGAAAACTTTCAAATACCATTTGGAAAAAAGTAACATAACTTTTTTATTTTCTCATACAGTTATACATCTTCAGGATGATTCATCTAACAGACAGCTCTGGACAAACAAAAGTTTTCTCTCAATGTGTAACACACTGCAGTTTTCCACAATGGTGGCATCAAGCATTTTATAACTTTTTCACCTTCAGCTGCCTCTTCATTATCCCTCTTCTCATCATGCTGATCTGCAATGCAAAAATCATCTTCACCCTAACACGGGTCCTTCATCAGGACCCCCACAGTATGTATTCCTTAGATTTAGTGTAATTTGTGAGCAGTTTTTAAAGAGCAATACTCAAAACAGAATGGCACAAACTGTATGCCACATACTGTTCTAAGCAGTTTAGATATATTAGCTCATTTAATATTCACAATCACCCTATGAGGTAATATTTTTATTATGTTTTTATCAGCCTCAATTTACAGATGAGGTAACTTAATATCTTCTGATGTTCTACATTTGCACCATGAAATTAAAGAAGAAAGAATGATTATTTCATTAAAACCCAGGATAGACATTGGCAAATGGTTTCTGCTGTGTTGCAACTACAAATTGTGATATCTAGACTACAGCAAAGTACAACCTGCTAAATGCTATACAATAAACTAGCTCCAGTAAGCTGTTTCATTTTATATTCAAATCCCCTATATTTACACAACATAAACTATGCACATTTGTGTGTGTTAATATGTGAAATATTATTGACTATGTAATTGATTATTTCATTCAAAACTTCACAGATGTGTTTGTACCTTTCTTGCTTTAGTAATATGGTGAATTCCCAAAAATTAAAATTTGTAAATTTATGAAATAAACGTTGTTATGTTGGCATGACACCCAAAAGACATGTTATCAATGGCATAGTGCATAAGTTATATCTAGTATAACTTAACAGGGAAATCTTCTTAATTGTGATGGCATGAACAGTCTCAGTAGATATTTTCAAAAGAAAATAATCATGGTGGCCAGGCGTGGTGGCTCATGCCTGTGATCCCAGCACTTCGGGAGGCCGAGGCGGGTGGATCAAAAGGTCAGGAGTTCAAGACCAGCCTGGCCAAGATGGTGAAAATCCATCTCTAGTAAAAATACAAAACTTAGCTGGGCTCGGTGGCATGTGCCTGTAATCTCAGCTACTTGGGAAGCTGAGGCAGAGAGTCGCTTCAACCTGGGAGGTAGAAGTTGCAGTGAGCTGAGATGGTGCCACTGCACTCCAGCCTGGGCAACAAAGTAAGACTCCAACTCATAAAAAAAAAAAAAAAGCAAAGAAAAGAATCATGGTGATGCTTTGTAATAAGTAATTGAGCAATTTCCACCTGGCAACACAAAATGCTATTTAATATTTCCCAAAAAAGTATACTTCAAAACCAATTTGCCTTCAAAATCTTATCTTGAGAGAGTCTATTTTATAAGCAATATCTAAGAAGGGAACAAAGAAAATAGGAAGGTGAATGATAAATAGGGGTTAATCTGAAGAAATATGAGCAGTACAGAAGCAAAAATACAAAAAAGCAGAGGCAGGAAGCAAGAAATATTATGAACACATTTATTTATTTATTCTTTTATTTATTTGATTAATACATACTGACTACTCACTATTGCTGGAAACTGTGCTAGGTGGGGATACCATGGTGAATAAGAAAAATCTAGTAATTATCCTGCTTTCATGGAGACCACAGTATAGCAGAAAAGTCATAAACAGTAAACAAATTATCATATATGACAATGTTTCAAAAGAGGAAAAAGCATGACATGTTGTGGTTGTCTTGATATTTTTTCATTTTCAGCCACTGTGCTAAGCCAAGATGCTTTTTTGAATTTTAAATTATGTGTCAGATATTGAGGATTAAATGAATAGTGTGTGAAAGGAGCAAAGCCTCTAGCAAGGCACGCAGTAAATGGTAATTAATTTTGTCTGCCAAAAATCCATAACCAGTCTGTATTTAATAAATTACTTATTTTAACACTTCTAGACAAAAAATAATTTCATAATATAAGACACCATGCATGGAAATGTTTTCCTCTATATGTCCACTCTTCAGTGACCAATTAATGAGAAGTTTTAAAATGACTATTTCTGAATAGCATTATCTGTTTCCCTCAAAAAAAGAAAACAGTGTATAAACAGTATTTCTTACTTAACAGAGAAGTTCTTATTATGAAATACAAGAACAGATTTTGAGCACTTCAAATTTGCAGCTTTTTACCTTTAAGAACTAAGTTCAAAATTTCATGTAAGCAGTCTGACTGTTAAAAGTCAGCAATTCCATTAATTTCCAGCAAATTTCTTCACAAGTGTAACCTATGAACTTTAAAGGCTGTGTTTATATAAAAAGTGAAATTATTTCAGATATCATAGAAAGCAGCAAACAGTTGAGATAGATAATTCGGGTTAGCACACTTTCATTCACACATGATACTTGCTATCCTTAGTGGCATAGATACTCAGTGAACATAATTTTGTTCTGAAGTCAGAATTCACAAAGCAAACAAAAACATAAAGTGGGGAAAGGACACCCTACTCAACAAATGGTGCTGGGTTAACTGGCAAGCCACATGTAGAAAAATGAAACTGGATTCTCATCTCTTACCCTATACAAAAAATCAACTCAAGATGGATCAAAGACTGAAATCTAAGCCCTGAAACCACAAAATTTCTAGAAGATAACATTGGAAAAACCCTTTGAGACATTGGCTTAGGCAAAGACTTCATAATCAAGAACCCCAAAGCAAATGCAACAATAACAAAAAAAGATAAATAGATGGGGCTTAATTAAACTAAAAAGCTTCTGCACAACAAAAGAAATAATCAACAGAGTTAAGAGATGACCCACAGAGTGGGAGAAAATCTTCACAATCTGTACATCTGACAAAGGATTAATATCCAGAATTTACAAAGAACTCAAACAAACCAGCAAAAAGAAAGCAATCTCATCAAAAAGTAGGCAAAGGACATGAATAGACAATTCTCAAAAGAAGATATACAAATGTCCAAGAAGTGTAGGGGAAAATGCTCAATGTTACTAATTATCAGAGAAAGGCAAATCAAAACCACAATGTGATACCACCTCACTCCTGCAAGAATGGCCATAATCAAAAAATTAAAAAATAATAGATGTTGGCAGGGATGTGGTGAAAAGGGAACACTTTTATACTGTTGGTGGACATGTTAACTAGTACAACCAACATGGAAAACAGTGTGGAGATTGCTTTAAAAACTAAAAGTAGATCTACCCTTTGATCCAGCAATCCCACTACTAAGTATCTACCCAGAGGAAAAGAAGTCATTATATGAAAAAGATACTTGCACATGAATGTTTATAGCAGCACAATTTGCAATCGCAAAAATATGAAACCAACCCAAATGCCCATCAATCAATGAGTGAATAAAAAAATGTGGTGTATATATATAATAGAATATTACTCAACCATAAAAAGGAATCAAATAATGGCATCCACAGTAACCTGGATGGAATTGGAGACTATTATTCTAAGTGAAGTAACTCAGTAATGGAAAACCAAACATCATATGTTCTCAATCATAAGTGGGAGCTAAGCTATGAGGACATAGAGGCATAACAATGATACATTGGACTTTGGAAATTCAGGGGAAAGGGTGGGGAGTGGCAAGAGATAAAGGACTACACATTGGGTACATGTACACTGCTCAGGTGATGGGTGCACCGAAATCTCAGAACTCACTGACAAAGAACTTATTCATGTAGCCCACCAGTCCTCCCAAAACATAAATAATATAAAACAATATTTTTTTTAAAAAAGAATTCAACCGAGTTTAACCCCATCTACTCTCTTAAATGTATATGTTAAGAGTTTGAGTACCGCATATTTCAAATCCACCTTAGTTTGACAGAAATAAGAGCACTATCATCTTCAATCTTTTCTATTCATTGTTTGACATAGTGGAAAACTCTTATAAAAACATGCTTTTCAAACAAATTATTATTATTTAAAATATTGAAAATTTTCTGATTAAGTTGAATTAGTGATGCTCTTTTCCTTTTTGTCCACTTTGGTTTTGTGAGAAAACTGATCTTTAAACATCTTCTCTTTTCTCTATCCAATAGAACTACAACTGAATCAGTCCAAGAACAATATACCAAGAGCACGGCTGAGGACTCTAAAAATGACGGTTGCATTTGCCACTTCATTTACTGTCTGCTGGACTCCCTACTATGTCCTAGGAATTTGGTATTGGTTTGATCCTGAAATGTTAAACAGGGTGTCAGATCCAGTAAATCATTTCTTCTTTCTCTTTGCTTTCCTAAACCCATGCTTTGATCCACTTATCTATGGATATTTTTCTCTGTGATTGACAGACTACACAAGAAGTCATATGAGGAAGGGCAAAGTAATGAATATCTTCATCTGGGAATGATTAACACAAATGTTCCAACGTGTTTACATACAAATAAAGCAGGATTTACACTTAAGTTATCATTCTTATTCTTTTAGAAACTCCATTTTCAGAGCCTCAATTATTAAGGAAAAAACTTCAGGAAAAATACTAAAATATTTTCTCTTCATCATAAGCTTCTAAATTAATCTCTGCCTCTTCTGACCTCATATAATACATTATGTAGGTTTCTTACCACTTTCTCTTTGCATAACAGTGTACAAATATTTAAAACACATGCAGTCTAAGTAATGCACAAGGATGCCAAAAAACAAAGGTGAGAAACCACAACACAGTTCTAAACTCAGCATGTTTTGGTGAGTTTTTCTCCAAAAGAGGCATATTAGCAATTAGAGTCTTATGCTATGTAATACATAGAGCACAGAGTCCCTTGCCCATGAGGTCAATTTTCCCTTCTGTTAAAAAAAAAAAAAAAAAAAGGATCTATTTTCCTCTTTGGCTTCAAAAGCATTCTGACATTTGGAGGAGTCAGTAACCAACCCCACCAACCACTCCAGCAACCTGACAAGACTATGAGTAGTTCTCCTTCATCCCATTTATGTGGAACAGGTTTTGAGGTGCCTCTATATAAACAGATATTTTAGAGGGGTTAGGATTTGGACAGGGATTTGGAACATTCCTCTAGGCTGTAGAGTCTATGGAGTTTCTGGTAACTAACTACCACAAAATAACAATGTTTTCAAATGCCATTAAGAAAATACCCATATTGAGTATGCTTTATGTATATAATATGCCCTCTATTTTAATAATGTGAAGAATTTTTTGTCTATCTCCTGATCTTACTAAATCCATAATTCATAAATAACAGAAAAATTAAAACAAAATTAAGCAAATGCACAAACAAAAAGACGCTTGATACAAAAAAGGAACTCTGGAGAGAAAACTACAGTTTCAGTCTGTACAGGTCAAAGAAGACAGAGTGTGTTGGGGAAGGAGGGAAGGATCTTGATGTAGCGTTTCTTAATCTACAGCCTAAGCACAACACTATATTTCCATGTAGGTTTTTAATTTTAGTTCTATTCATATCATTTTATGCATTTAAAAAACACAATCTTGAGATGATAGACTAGACTGCCACAGCAGCCCATGGCACAACTAACACCTACTGATATTCACTTTAAATTGTATGATTTCGAAAATATGTCTGCACAACACCACCTTTTTATTTAATTCAGGTTTGTGTCTACCTCTTCCATGAAAATAGGGAAGGGATGAAAACAATGGGAGTATAATATCCATTTAATGTGAAAAACATGATGAGGGTCTTAAAAGAAATTAAAACATTTAACATTTTTTAAATAGGTAAGATACCATTATATTAACATGAGCTATGTAATGCCACACAAAAGATGAAATGTAATCTCTAAATACTCTAAATAGGTGTGTGGTATTATGGAAAGTAAATTGCCAGCTAATGGTAAGTGCTTTCTTTCTTTGATTTGCTCCTCTTATGCTTCAGGTTTATAGTGTTGTGTTACTGGTTTTTTTCATATCCTACCTTATTTTCCAATTCTGTCTCACTTGAACTGCCTCTGTGTACTCACCCTTTCATTCATAGCTTCTTTATTACTAAACTCATATCTTTAATTGGTTAATTCATGGCCCAGTTCTATAGTTGAATTGGGCAAGGCTAAAAATCTGTAGTGTGTTAAACTGCTCAAAATTGGCTTGTACTCATTCCAAGATTTTATAGTTCTCATAGACAACACAGGGATGTAAATAAGTTAAAACAAAATCAATGTTTTCTAAGTCTCTATGATATACTTATTTCTAAACTGATAATTCTTCTGGATTTAAAGGCAAAAATAACACACTTGTACACATACAATCTAAGGGCTTTATTACATATGTTTAAGGAATGTATCTCAGCTTGGTTCTCCTTGTGGGCTCATTATGGATCTCTCTGAGGTATTTCCTTGAGCATTTTTTTTGACACATTAAATAAAGGGCTATTCAAAATCTTGACTCAGGGGTTCTTAACCTACAGTCCATGCAAAAAAAAAAAAAAAAAACTATATTTCAATGTATTTTTAAATTTTAGTCTTATATATTATTTTATGCATTTAAAAACACAATCCTGAGAGAGATAGACCAGACTGCGACAGCAGCTCATAGCACAAAAAAAGGTTAAGAATTCCTATTTGACTTTGAGTATTTATAAGGGAGTCTATTACAATAAAAATATAACAGAATGTATTAATCTGTTTATATGCAAACATAAAAATGTTAATATTGAAACAAGATTGCTTCAATATGCTTAATTATTGTTTTCAAACTAACAAACTCTCCTAAGGCTCAATATGTGATAAAAAACAGAAATAATTCAATATTCATATTATGGTCCATAAATTATAATGTACAATGTATAAATTATAATGTAATATATAAACTAAAATGTATAGCTCCAAAGATAAATATGGCTTTTAAAGATATTCCACTCAACAGATATTTCATAATTGATATTATAATTATTTATTTTATGTCCTATTATAATAAATGGTAAGGATTCCTTGTAAAAAAGGAAATGTTCTACAGAGTGAATCTAATATATCAGATAGTTGAGATTCTATCTTGGTTTCTCTTCCTTTACCTAGCCTATAAAACTAGTTAAAAATTGAATTGCTTTTAGCAATTCAGTTTAGTAAAGAAGTGACATTAACTAATGACAATAAATTGAACAAAGTCTACATTAGTTCAAGTTAAGCCTATTCAACAGAAATATAGTAGCTAAAAAAATATTTTGGGAGAGGTACCACAAACATTCTCCACCAGAGAACATAGCATAAATGAGTTAGAAATTTCCTGAAAGAGACCTTGTCTTCGAACTTAGGTGGTAGTCATAAAGAGATAATATTTTTAGATAGTTAAAATACTTCTAGAATTCCATCTATTTTACCGTGGTGTACTTTCCTACATTGAACCGATGCTTTGGGCTTCTTTAATTACTACACATTGTGCTCATATGAATAAAAAAATATTTTAAAAGAAAAAAAATCAGATTCAATCTGATCTTGCTTATCATGTTTTAAGAGTATTAAGAATCAAGTTTAAAATAATTAGTCTAGTTTTAAAAGTTATGCAACATATAAAATGTATGCATAGCAGCAATAGATAAATATATACAAAAAGTGTTAATATAGTTACCTGCGTGATTTCTTAAAAATTTTCTTCCCTGTGAATTCCTGTAATTCCAAATTCCCAAATGAACTCATATTGTGTGTGTGTTAAGAAAAAACACAATAAATGTTACATGTGTGTATGTTTGTCTGACTTTTTTTTTTTTTTTTTTTTTTTTTTTTTTTTTTTTTTTTTTTTTTTTTTTTTTTGGGTTTCACTCATGTTACCCAGGCTGGAGTGTAATGGCGCAATCTCGGCTCACCGCAACCTCCGCCTCCTGGGTTCAGGCAATTCTCCTGCCTCAGCCTCCTGACTAGCTGGGATTACAGGCATGCACCACCATGCCCAGCTAATTTTTTGTATTTTTTTTAGTAGAGACGGGGTTTCACCATGTTGACCAGGATGGTCTCGATCTCTTGACCTCGTGATCCACCGCCTCGGCCTCCCAAAGTGCTGGGATTACAGGCATGAGCCACCGCGCCCGGCTGTCTGACTTTTTTTTATACATCACTGTTTCTATCAGAAGACATTCTGCTGTAAGGAATAAAAATGTCAAGCTAGAAGTGGCTTTTTTCCATCTCACTTTATAGGATGTCCAGAGGTGGGTATGCAGAATCAGTTAATTCAGAGCTTTGACTCAGCTTCTTTGATTCTACTAGGCTTTTCTTTTCTGACTAGAAGTTGGCTGTCAACATTCTAGGAGTCAAAGGTAGAAAGAATGACTTCTCATTATAGGTCTCTCTTTTCCATAACTCTCAGTACTTCCCCTTAAATTGGCCAGAACTGAGACACATGACTGACCCTAAACAAATCACTGGCAAAGAAAATTACCTGAACACTTTAAGGGAATAATTCATCTTGTGGGACAGGGCTCAATTTCCCTGAACACTTAGCAATCTGATAACTAAAAAAGAATGAAGGCTTTTTTTATTTTTTATTTTTGGGGTAGGAAGGAGGAAGAGAGAAAAAGAGATCTTTTTCTGACCTTTTGGGTCAGAAAACTGCAGTACCTGCCATAATCACCAATTAACTTTTCAAAACAAAATTTAGAGTATATAGGCTACAAATTTAAGTAGCACATAATTTAAATGCAATGCATAAAAAATAAATGCAGCTCTGAATACATAATAAATGACTGCATAATAAATGTAACTCTAAGGGAAAGGAACAGATTTTCATTGTTTTTAATAAATTAAATCCAAGTGTTTTAAACTCTAGTGGTTAGAATATTTATCTGATGTATAAGCGATAGGTTCTGCCTAATTACTTACTTTCTTGGGAGCTCTTGGCTCCCATTTTTTTTCTTCATTTATTTGTTTGTTTTTATAACTGGTTCATTGGATAAGTAATGTTCATACATTTAAAAAATTCTGGCCATCACTTCAGATTCAGAGAATAATTGTCAAGTTAGTTAATAAATAAATGGCAACTTAAAATGGATTTTCTATAAAGCTCATGAAAATTAATTTCCAAGTTTCTCACTTATTTCAGCCCAATCCTGTGGCCCGGGAAAATATGTTTTCACATGGTCACGTTTTTATAAAATCCACACCAAAAAAGGATATTTTAATTGCAATTGGTTAAGACTATCTCTTTCCACTCTCACTTTTCCTCTGTCACCCTTACCCTCAGATGAAGTGGCATTGGGATGACCATGTATATTTTTGGGATCCAGCCAAGGAGAAGTTGAATGAAGAATATCTTTAGACTGACTCTGGAGGGATAGTATGTGGTTCTTGGTCACTTTCATGTTAAGCTAAGTCATTGCTAACCATTGCAAGAAACTTCCAGGAAAAATACTAGAAAAAATACCCACCATAGTGACTTATCTGGCATAGGGACTGGAAAATGTAGGGCCAGAGTTTATATCATTATATGAATGTGTCTAGACATATGGTAACAGAACCACAAAAGTGGTAAGGATGAAAAAAGACATAAAATGTGCAGAAGCTTCTCTGTGGAAAATTATTACACATGTATACCCAAAGGTAATTCCCAGTATGACACACCCTTATGTAATCCCCTATCTTTGAGCATTACTGGAACCTGTAACTTGCTTTCAATCATACTTTGCCTATGGCAAATTAATAAGATGTCATTCCTTGATCAGGTTACATTACCAAGCAAAGGTGCTAGGATATCAGTCCTGTGATTACATTATATTATATAAGACTATCTTAGCAAACTGAAGTGAGAAATTCACCCTTAAGTAAACAGTCATGTTGTAAATGCCTTTGCAGAGAACTATGCGGCAGAGAATTGAGGACAGCCTCTAGGACCTGAGGGTAGCCTCCAATGAACAGCCAGGAAGAAGCTAGGGCCTTCAGTCGGACAGAGAAATAAATTCTTCCAGCATCCTGAAAAAGCCTGGAAGTGGTTTCTTCCTTAGTCAAACCTCAAGATAAGCACACAGTCTAGCAAGCCCCTTGATTATAGCCTGGTGAAACACTGAACAAAATATTCAGTTTGTACCTGGACTTCTTATCCATAAAAGCTGTGAGATAAACATGTATTGTTTTAAGACAGTAAGTTTGTGGTCATTTGTTATATTATAGAAAACTAACATGCTTAGCAGGAAAAGTGTAAGAAAAAGATTTGGTCTTTATCAAATCCTAGTCAAAATGGAAATTCTCTCTTTTCAGAAGTACACTGAACAATGCAGCAGCATATACAATTATAAACTCCCCTACATATTTTTCTTTTGGTTGGAAATGTGCAAGATCTAATTTATAAGAATTCCTGTGCTTCTAGGACACAAAACCATAGCAGTACTAAAAACGGCAAGTACATCTTTTTTTATGCATTGCAATGTGCCAGATTTCATGCTAGGATGTCATTAGAAATAAACAGTTGTAAAACTGAAAGAAAGTTTTCAAAGCTATCAATATATAAAAAACATAAAATATTGCTATACTAAAATATAATCAAGTAGCATGCACCTAAAATATTTTGGAAGAAAAAAAGCACTTTAGAGTTATGTCAAGCAGTTAATAAAAAAATGCTACATTATTTTTATAGATTTAATGATGTTTGTGGTATTTTCAGTAAAATGTTTTAGTTTTTGTTGTTAGAGATAGGGTCTCGCCCTGTCACCCAGGTTGGAGTGGTGTGATCATAGTTCACTGCAACCTCCAATTCCTGGGCTCAAGCAATCCTCCTGCTTTAGCCTCCTAAGTAGCTGGGACTGCAGGCATGCACTCCTATGCCTGGCTAATTTATTTTATTTTTATTCTCATAGAGTTAGGGTCTCACTATGTTGCCCAGGCTGGTCTCAAAACCCCTAGGCTCAAGCAGTCCTTCTGCCTTAGCCTCCTAAATAGCTGGGACTGCAGGCGTGCACTCCCATGCCTGGATAATTTGTTTTATTTTTATTCTTGTAGAGATAGGGTCTCACTATGTTGCCCAGGCTGATCGCAAAACTCCTGGCCTCAAGCAATCCTCCCAACTCAGCCTCCCAGAGTACTGGGATTACAGGCATGGGCCACCTTGTCTAGCAAACTATTTCCTTTTATACCCACTTACAGAGACCCTACCCATATAAAAACTTCAGACCCCAGAAATCATAGATCCTTCAAAAAGGAACTAAACTCCTACATTTTTGTAAGACCACTTTCCAAATTAACATGACAGTCCTGATAAAGTGATTCACATCTTATTTTCTATGCCAAACTTACCATCTCAATGATTTTCTCAGAAAGCTAGGATAGGGTCCTGCCTTACTCTAATTCTTGGGACTGAAGTCTGCTTTTTTTTTTTTTTTTTTTTTTTTTTTTTTTTTTTTTGAGATGGAGTTTTGCTCTTGTCTCCCAGGCTAGAATGAAGGAGTGCAATGGCCACTATCTTGGCTCACTGCAACCTCTGCCTCCCAGGTTCCAGTGATTCTCCTGCTTCAGCCTCCCTAATAGCTAGGATTACAGGTGCCCGCCACCATGCCCAGCTAATTTTTATATTTTTTGGTAGAGATGGGGTTTCACCATGTTGGCCAAGCTTCTCTCAAACTTTTGACCTCCACCCACTTCAGCCTCCCAACATGCTAGGATTACAGGCATGAACCACTGCGCCTGGTCTGAAGTGTGCTATTAAACCACCATTAACTGGGGAGGACAGGCTAACTGATGGCAGGCATTCCTGCTGCAAACTATATACCAGTCTATGTACCAAAATTGCTAATTCTAGATTGCTAATTACTATGCTCAACCCACCTGATAGAATGTATCTTGCTATACTCTAATCCATTTCTTCCTCCATCACTAGTTGCTCCCCTGAACTTTCCATTATTTATCACTAAACATGCCAATTGTGTTCTACTTGCTAGGATGGACTTTCTGTCATTAACAGCTGGCTCCTCTATAACAGCTGCCTACCCCAATAGATATAGTCCCTGGAACCAACTCCTCAAAGTCTTCCCAAGTCCATTGCTATCAGATAACTATTCAATGACCAGCTAATTGACAAAATAAAACCATCATCAGAATAGCACTCTCAAATTCAACAGAAAACAGATTCCAAATAAACAAATATGCAAAAATTGACAAATATCCATCATAGGAGAGTACTCTTAAATTCCCACTACTAAATTTTAAATCTTCCTAAACTACATTTTTTTCCTCTGTATTTTCATATCTTGATGGAAGACTTGTCCCTGCTCCTCTTAAAGATGAACCCCTCTACTTATGCTCTAGCTATCTTACCCTCTTACACTTCAAGAACATAATTTCTTCAACTATTCCCTATTTCTCTCTCTTACACCATCGATCTTCCTGTTTTTACCAAATTATTCCCACTGGCATGTAAAAATGCTTTCTTATCCTGAATCTTCAAAAAAAAAAAAAATCCTTTTCAACCATATATTCAGTTTCAGCTTCATTTCCTACCATTTCTAAACTCCCCTTCATGGAAAACTTCTCAAGTTGTTCAAACCAGATAACTCCCCTTCTTTACCTCCCTTTTAATTTTCAATGCCTGTTAACTTGCCTTTTTTTTTTTTTTTTTTGGAGATGGAGTCTCACTCTGTTGCCTAGGCTGGAGTGCAGTGGCACGATCTTGGCCCACTTCAACCTCCACCTCCGAAGTTCAAGCGATTCTCCTGCCTGAGCCTCCCAAGTAGCTGGGATTACAGGCGTGCACCACCACACCCAGTT